CCTCAAGCCGCCTTCAGTCCCCACCTCTCCCCCTCAGCACCGTCCTCCTCTGGTAGGAGGCTGGGTCTAGCTCTGCCAGGGGCCACGGGAGGTCACCAGGCCCAGGGCTCCCCAGCCCCAGTGCTGGCCCAGGAAAACAGCCAGGCAGCGATGCCGGGGCAGCTGGTGGCTGCTGCGCTCTGCTAGACTCCGCGGCTCATGCCTGAGCTCCCGGCTCACCGCCCGCCACCTGAACCCTCCTGTGCTCCAGGCCAGTGCTTGTGCCGTGAGCCTGGAAGGCAGGGACTCCGATGTTACTGAGAGCAGCACACTGGCTAGCCGGGGTGTGGGTGTGGCCACTCAGGAGGGGACCATGAGGCCTGAACAGTGAACACAGACCAGTGGGGGGAGTGGTGAGAGGGGCCAGGAACACAGGGCCAGCCCTGCAGGCCCTCCTGCGGCCCTAGGGACTCCCGACACCCCCTGGGCAGGGCCGCAGAGGAGGAGAGGGCCAGGGGCAGGTCTCCACGTGGCCTGCACACGGCTCCTGCAGGCCCACTCCCCAGTCAGGATAGGCCACCTGGGGCACAGGCCTTTTGATGGTGTCTATGCCCAGAATTGGGACATCTGGGCACAGCTGACCCATCTCAGTGTGAGTTCCACCCCTGCTGCACACACACCCATTTCCCAGAGAGGCTAATGCTCAGTGGGGAGGCAGCTGCCACTCCTAGTCTCAGGGGAGCAGTGACTCACTCGGGGATCCTGGCTCCCCCAGGGCTCTGGCCTTACCCTGCCAGCTCCCCAAGGGGCCTCACAGCCTCGTAGAACCCTGCTGCTGAGGCTAGGGGCTCCTTGCACAGAGACCTGCTGCCCTCACAGGTGTCCCCAGCCCACTAACCCCCAGTTGTTCAGCCCCAAACCTGTCTGCTCACCCAGACCACCCCAGGACAAGGCTCTGGTGGGCCCTAACAAGCTAGCCCCCACAGCCCACCTGCTGGAAGCACAGGCCCTCAGGGAAGGCACTATAGCCCCGCTCAGATGGGAAAGTCCTGCTCCACCCTGGCCGTGTCCCAGGACCTGGACTTGGCCATGCAGCCAGCACGCCTCCGTGTGCACTCACAGAGTGTGGAGGACACACGGACGAGGACAGGTATATGTGCAGGTGTGGGCTCCCACACAAGGCTCTACTGGTACACTTGGCTTCAGGTCACAGGCCTCCTGTGTGTGCCGTGGGGACACACTTACACTCTCCCGTGGACAGGGGATGCAGGTATGAGTGAGCCCAGTCCGCACAGACATTCTGAGCAGGTGTGTGCAGTCAAGGTGGCTGTGGGCGAGGTGTGGACATGCCCAGGTGTGCAAGGGTGCCAGGTGTGGGAGGATACCCAGGTGTGTCCAGCTGTGGTGGTCTCTAGCTCTGGGGGAGTGTTCAGCTATGGGGGTGTGTCCAGCTATGGGAGTGTGTCTGGCTGTGGGGGTGCGATCAGTTGTGGGGGGGTGTTCAGCTGTGGGGGAGTGTCTAGCTGTGGAGGGGGTGCTCAGCTGTGTGGGAGTGTCTGATGGGGGGGTATCCAGCTGTGGGGGTTTGTCCAGCTGTGGGGGTGTCCAGCTGTGGGAGGGTGCCTGTGCGTGTGAAGTGCCCGGATATGTGAGGTGCCCAGGTGTGAGAGGATACCCAGGTGTGTCCACCTGTGGGGGTGTGTGCAGCTGTGGGGGGGGTGTCCAGCTGTGGGGGTGTGTCTGGTTGTGGGGGTGTGTCTGGTTGTAGGGGTGTGTCCGGCTGTGGGGATGTGTCCGGCTGTGGGAGACTGCCTGTGTGTGTGAGGTGCTCAGGTGTGCAAGGTGCCCAGGTGTGGGAGGATACCCAGGTGTATCCAGCTGTGGGAGTGTGTGCAGCTGTGGGGGTATGTCCGGCTGTGGAGCTGTGCTCAGCTGTGGGAGACTGCCTGTGTGTGTGAGGTGCCCAGGTGTGCGAGGTGCCCAGGTGCGTGAGGTGCCCAGGCGTATGAGGGGGCTAGGGCCCTATGAGCACTGCACACAGGTGCAGAGACATGGCCTAGCCCTGATACTCACAGGCTGTCCCGCAGCTCCTGTGTGTCACCTGGCGTCCCCAGGGACCGGAGGCTCCGCTCCAAGGAGGTCACTGCCCAAGAGAAGAGGGAGGGGTGTAAAGAGCGGGAGGCCACAGGATGGGGGCAGCAGGACGTGGGACAAAGGACGGAGCAGGGGCCAGAAGACACAGCCAGCATGCAGTCCAGCCCTGCCCTTCACTCAGTCACAGCCCAGGAGAGCCCAGGCCAGTAGCCCTCTCCCAGCTGTCCTGGGGCAGATGCCTAGGCCACTGCAGCCCACGTGGCAACCGGAGGGCCACTCACAATAGCCCAGCCTATGGGGACAGCAGTGAGTCTGGTGGGGCCACTCTCCTCTTCCCCCATGTCCTCTGCTGCTCCATGTCCTGAGACTACCCAGGGGCTGGGTGTATGGCCTTGGCCCCTGCTTTAGTGAACTTGGTGGTCTGCCAGCTCCACTGCCCTGGCGTGGGGGTTCTACCACCATCCGTCCTGGCCCCACTTCCTGTCCCTGAGCTGTGGCACTCAGCTCGGGGTCCTGGCTGCCTAGTCCTCTCCCACCTCTGTCCTTGAGGATCCCACCTGGAGAGAGACCCCATGCCAGCACGCACCCCCTGCAGTGCCCCCAGGCCCGGCAGAGACTCACCGTTAGAGTTGATGTGGTAGACGCCGGCTGATGCTGCCTGGAACAGCTCCTGGAGCTCGCTCGGATCCACCGGGGTGGCTGCAACGAGACGGGAGGGGGGCCCACGCTTACTGCGCTGGCTGGAGGAGGTCCTGAGCCCTGACCTGCTCTGGGCTGGGACCTGCACTGCGTCTTGGAAGAGAAGGGCACCCAGACGAGCCTGCCCCTCATCCTCCTGGCTTGGCCGCCCACCAGCACCCACCAGGGCCACCCTGGCCGGTCAGCTGGGCTCGAGTCCGGAGGAGCAGACACCCGGACACCACCTCCTGCCCCCGCACACCAGGGCCCCCTCGAGCCGGTAGGGAAGAGAGAAGAGCAAGCAGGGTGGGTCTCAAAGGTTCAACACAGAGGCACCACGTGGGCCGGCAATTCTGCTCCTGCGATGCACCCCATGAGATGCCTCTGCTCGAGCACCACGGCGGCCAAAGCGGCCATCAGCCAGCAAATGGACACACACGGTGGGGTCTGCTCATACGAGGCAATGTGCCTCAGCCAGAACAGGGAATAAGGCCTGAGGCCTGCTCCTCCGGGAGGAACCTGGAGGACACTCTGTGGAGTAGGCGCAGCTAGACACGGAAGACGGACGCAGAGTCATGCATCTACGTGGAATTCCAGAACGGGAAAATCCAGACCCAGAGCAGACCTGCAGTGGCCAGGGCCAGGCTGGGGGCTGATTAGGGAGCATGGAGATTCTTCCCGGGGTGATGTGGATTTTCTGGAATTTGACAGTGGTGGGTCCCAATGCTGAGAATACACCAGAAACCACAGAGTTATCTGTTTCAAGATGGGGGGTTGTGTGCCATATGCATTCCATCTCAGTTTTGAACAAGCAGCAGGAGCACAAAGAACAGGGTACCGACATCCTGAAGTGCTGGTGAGGGGAGCAGCTGGAATGCCCAGACACTGCCAGGCAGGAGATGGGCAGCCACCCTGGCAGAGGCTGGTGGGACATACAGTGCCCACCTACATGTCCCGTCTCTGGGGTGTGGTCTGATCCCACTTTTAGTGTGTGCTGCCATCTAATGTGAGAATTCTAACGGTGAGAATCAGGAGAAACAGGCCTCATCCCACCAACCCCAACATCAGAGACCCTTTGGGACAAGTGTGTCCCACTAATTGTGTCAAAATCCCTATTACCTCTAAGAAAATTTTTTTCCATTTCATTCACAATGACTTCCATTACTGAAAAATGCATGGTTTCAACAAAAAATTCAAAGATGAAAATAATCTTGAAAAGGTTGAAACACTAAGCATACTCCACTCTATGGCCCAACAACTCCACCCTGGGTCTTCACAGGAGAGGGAGGAAAGCACTCGTCCACAAGAAGCTGGCAGGGGAACGCTCCCAGCAGCTTTATTAACAGCCAGAGCCCAGACCAAGTCCAGGTGCACAGCAGAGAGCAGACAAGCACACTGGGGTCCCCAGGGGACACAGCGCTGAGCAGCCCCAGAGAGCACCATGTCACCCTCTCAGGCACCATGGACAAGTCTCCGCAGCCTGTCGAGAGGAAGTACCACACACAGCTGTGGGAATCGTTCATAGCAAGTTCTAGAACAGGCGAGAACAGTGCATTCTGGGGAAATTCAGAGCAGCGGAGACCCCTGGAGGGGCTGGAGGTGCAGGGGAGGGGCATGTGCCGTGTCAAGACGGGGGTGGGCCACCCAGTGGCCTGCGTCTGTCTGTTAAGACCCCCTGAATGATGAATGTAAGAGCTGTGGTTTTGTCGTATGTTGTATTTGTGGTAGTTGTTGGGTACCGCTGAGTCGATTCGGACCCACAGTGACCCTACAGCACAGAGTCAAACTTGCCCCTAGGGCTTCCAAGGCTGTAATCTTTGCGGAAGCTGACTGCCACATCTTCCTCCCACGGAGCAGAAGTAGGTGCAAACTGCTGACGTTTGGTTCGCCGCCGAGTGCTGAACCACTGCACCACCAGGCCTCCTTGGTTACTTTCCCTCCAGAGACCAACCAGACAAGTGATCAAGTCCTTAGAAGCCAGGCTCCAAGAGCAGCCCCTGGCACCCGTGCCTGGGCCCAAGGAGCAGCAGGAGGCAGCTGCAGGTACCACCATAAACACCCTTCGGGAGCGAGGCTGACAAGAGGACAACAGCCCAGTGCCAGGCTGCCAGGCGCTACCTCGGGACGGGGAGCCTGCCACAGGGACGGGCAGAGCAGACGCTCACAGCCTCGTCCTTGCTTGCCATCTCCAAACCGGGAACAAAGAACTCTGTCCAAGTCCTTCCTGTCCCCAGCATTCATGTCTAGATGATTCCAGAAGCCCTCGCTGGTTAACAGATGTCGCAGGACACAGGGCCTCCCCCCACGAGGCCCCTCTGCTCTCTCAGGCCCCGCATGGGCCCTCTCTGCCCCTGGCCCATCCACACATCCACTCACACTCCAGCCCTCCTTGACCATTCTGAGGCCTGGCCCCAGGGCCAGTGGCCCGTCTTTCCAGGGGACAGGCGCCTCCCTGGTCAGACTAACTCCATGTGGCGTGAATCTTCCTTAAATGGAGCAAGATCTTGATGAAAACTAGTTTCAGATCCACGGGTATATCTAGCGGTTTAGGAGGAAGTGCTGAGGTCAGCAGGCTAAGGGACTTGCCAAGGCCACCCAGCCAGCATAGGGCAGGGCATGGACCCACATCCAGCTGTCGTCTAAAGGGTGCTCTTAGCTACCCAGCAGGTGGGCAGGCGTCCACTGGTCTCCAGCTATGACACTGAGGAGCCCCCCTGGCCCTGCAGCAGCCTGGGGTGGGAACACCAAGAAACAGCTAGAGACCCAGCACAGGCCAGTGGTAGCCCTGGGGGTGCATCTCAGGGCACCCAGACTTGGGCTCAGCAGCCAGAGGCCCTGCAGAGCCCCCAGTGGGGTGAGGAGCCCCGGAGTCTTCAGTCTGAGTACTCCTCCCTGGCCGACAGCTGCCAGGGCCAGGGCCAGGGCTCGCCTAGCTGCCCTGAGAACAGAGCCCCAGCCTGTGGACTGAGCCCCCTGCCAGCAGTCTGCACCCACCCCCCTGGAGATGGAAGCCGTGGGTGGGTCGGCCTGGCAACAGCACCAGGTGCGCCCCGCTATTTCTGACGGCCACACGGAATCCAGTAAACACCTAGAGCCACCGTGGGCGAGCGTGAAAACCGAGGGGGATGGGGACACGCAGCTGGCTTCTCAGGAGTCAGGGCCACTCTGGAGGAGGCGGGGGTGGGCAGATGCTAAGGATGAAGACAGAAGCCAGGTAGCACCCACGGACAGAAGGGCTGCTCCGAGTCACCCTGGACTGAGCCCCTTCCCCACTTAGGGAAGGTGCCCTAGGAGAGGCCTCTTGGCTGACCAGAAGGGCACAACGGGGAGACGCCCCTGGGCCACCTGTGCAGTTCCAACTGGGGGACTGCTGACCCTTCTCCAAACCCAGTCTTTCCTTCTGGGCACAAACCACCCCGCTGTGGATGGCCTCCCTTGCGGAGAAAAAGACCACATGACTAATTCTCCCGCTGGGGTCTGAGAAAGGAGCTCTGGTGGCATGGTGCTTAAGGCACTTGACTGCCAACCAGAAGGCTGGAGGTTCAAACTCAAGCCACTCCTTGGAAAGAAGGTAGGCAATCTACTTCTGTAAAGATTCACCACCTCAGAAACCCAAAGGGGGTCGCTATGAGTCAGAATCAACTCGATGGCAGTGGTTTTGGTTCCATTTTTTGGGGTCTGAGAGGAAAGGAGGTGAACAGTGCCCTCTCAGGGCAGTGCCAGCCCACAGCTGCCTCTCGCCCCACCTTCCACAGGTGGGACACTGATGTACCTCACCCCTACCGGTGAGGACAGAGCAGGGACCCACGCATGGACAGGGCCTGAGTCCCTGAGCGGTCGTGTGGCACAGAGCCGCAGCAGCTGGGAGAAGGCCTTGATCCTTGGCTCCTTGGAGGTCTCCATGCGCTGTGACATGTCTTTTCCCATTTCTGCCCACTTCTCCACTCCTTTTAGGTCCCAAAGAGGCCTGCCTTAGGACACGCCCTCCACTATACAGCCTCATCAACGCGACATGGGAAGCATCCTTATGTGGAGTTACAACCACAGGTATGGGGTAAAGGTCTACAACACGCACTTTGGGGAACACAGTTTACTCTGTAACAGAGACTGGAGTGTGGGGAGAGCTGGGCAGCTGTGGGGCTGGGCAGGGTGCCGCGGAGGAGACAGCTTGGCAGAGAAGGGCATCCAGAGGCTGCGTGAGGACACTCTCGCCTCCTCCACACACCTGTCCACACGGGGGGAAGCCCCAGGGCCAGGGGAAGAGACACCCAGGAGGAAGCAGCAATCGCCAAGGGGGTGAACGATGCCGAGCCCCCCCAGAGCAGAATCACCTGTCAACGCCCAGGACTCTAGAAGCAACCACAGAGGCTTCACGGCTCAAAAGTGGGGCTGCATCAGTGCTGGGGGAAGGGTCTGAGGTGAAGGGAGCACTTTTGGGTGGCCTTTCTCACCAAGGTCTTGTCACTCCCACTGAATGACAGGGGGACTATGTAGATGAGGTGCTGTGGCCCACAAAAGGGATGACACCTTGCTGACACCTTGCACCAACCCCTTCTGGGGGTGGAGCCTTGTGGATACTGTGCACGGCACCCCAACAAGGGGATTGGTCTGCTTTGCCATCTGCTAGGCTCTGGTAGCATAGTGCCTAAGGCATTTGACTGCTAACCAGAAGTTCTGGCGGTTCAAACCCACCAGCCACTCCTCGAAAGGAAGGTTGGGCAATCTACTTCTGTGGTGATACCACCTCGGAAACCCAAGGAGGGTTGCTGTGAGTCAGGTTCAACTCGATGGCAGTTGAGTTTTGAGCGGCTTAAAGGGAGCCAATCCAAGAAGTGAGAAGGGGCCCTCACTACCACCAAGAAAGAAGAGCCAGGAGAAGTATCCAGGGCCCCTGTGCTGAGAGTCTCCTAGACCCAGGAGAGAGGGAGCTGTGACAATAGAGAAAGCAGGAGAAGCAAGAAGCAGCATCAGAGAAACGGCGGCCGCAGAACCGTGAGCCAGCACGGCGGGCCTCCCCGGCC